GCGGCGAGAGCGCCCAGCCCACTCACAGCCCCGCGGCTCAGTACCTGCTCTCTCCGCTCCTGGGCTGCCCGGTAGGTGTTACAGCTCCCTCCCTACCCACCTCCTCCAGTTTGTGCTTCCTGACCCAGTGGGAAAGGAGAACAGCACTGTGACAGGTTCTGAGCAGGCACCAGTTTCATAGAGTCATGGAATGGTTTGGAGGAGATCTTACAGATCATACAGTGTCATTCCTGCCATGGGCAGGGACATCTTCCACTAGACGAGGTTGCTCCAAGCTCTGTTCAGCCTGGAACACTTCCAGGGATGATTTCCTCCAAACCCTCATTTTCCTTGCTGCTCACACTCAGTTGTCAGTGTTGCTCCCATGAGCGTGTCCCTGGGCCCCATGGAGCTGTGCTCATGCTCTGCTCCAGGAGAAATGGGATCAAAGTCAATACTCCCTGGTCAAAGCGGCACCAAAGCCTTTGAAGCCCTGCCTGGCCTGTCAGTCACCCCTCTCCAGGAGCAGCTGCAGCAGGAAGTGTTGGGTTTGGTAGGGATGTGTGGATGGGGATGAGCTCGCACACAAATCTGGCTGTGGGCTGTGTGCTGGTGATAAAGCAGCCCCAGAGCTGAGGTTCTCATGGGGACTTTTCTTCACTTACGATCTGTGTATGAGGAGGAAAAGGGTTGACTGTGCAGGAAACAAAGTAGTTTCCTGGTGGAAAATCCTGCTGCAGCACATCTGTTCCCAGAGCAGGATGGCATTCCCGGGTGTCGGGCTCGAGCAGCGGCGGATTTCCCCTGCTGCCACCAGGAGCTGATCTACAGCCACTTGCTTTTGCTTTTAGGAAGCTCTTTGAACGCTCCTGTCCTCTGTCTAATTTGTTACTGACTTTTCCGTCCTGGTTTCCATTGTTTCCATCCTGGTTCCCATCCTTTCCATCCCGGTCAGTGTAGGATATACCTCATGCCCCCCAAACCTCTGTCTGCTCTCTGCTCCCTTCAGCTCCCTCCAGCTTATCCCATTTCCGCTGCTTCCTCGTGGCCTTGAGCCAGTTTGACCTAATCTATGTATAACATACTGTGTCAACAGGAAATTCCCCCTGCTC